TGTTTATCAAAGACATGTATGAATGTATGAATTTCTGCTCGTATGTTTATTTTCTTTCTTAGAAAGGCTTCATGTTCTTGAATTAAGTAAATAATGAAGTAGTGAGGACTGTGGGCCACTAAGCGGCAGTAAAATCATTTTATCCAATTGAAACCATTTGCAAAAGAGCAGCTTTTAGCTCCTAGATGTGAATCCACCAAAAAAACAATCCCTCTGGACTTGTTAACTTTCCTGGCAGATCTTAAAAGTTTCTACAGGAGAATTAGATACTAAACATCAACATCAAATATTCCCACCATCTCACTTATGTTGTTTTACTTCAACTGTTAAGTGCTATTTTAATGTCCTTGACTATATTTGCTCTCAAATTTGCTTTGAAAAGTGGGCCTCTTATTATACTCCCCACCTCTCACATGATCCTGAACTGCCTGTGTGTACTTTAAGTCCAATTTGATAATGGCGGGGAGTGATAGCATGCATTTGTTGTAGAATGATGGTAACCCTCCACCCCACCCCCGTCTCCCTTCTTCTTTCACTGAGTGTTTTTTCAACTAATTTATTTTGATTTCCATCACACTCTTTCCTGGGAAATATGTGATAAAAACAATGAAGTAACGGCATCCAGATGGTGAGGGGAACAAATAGCCTCGTTCACTCACTTCTACTAACATTTGGCAATCAGCTCCTTAATAGGCCCCTGATGAGCACTGCCAAATTCCAAAGGAGTTATATTTGTGTACATTAGGCAAAGGTTTCAAATATTAAGTCTATTTCCAAAAAAAGAATGGAACTATTAGGCCTCATTATAGCTATGAGGTCTGTTCCTACATGTGTTTAGAAGGTTGTGAAAATAAATGAATTGCAAACATGGATTATTTACCAACATAATGTCCTTTCCCCTCTCGAAAAGGAGGTCCAACAGGTCCTTTCATCATAGGCTGCATGTACTTCATGTGGGGTATGGGGGGGTAACCTCCACCAAGAGCACGGCCCCCAAGCATTAGCAGGACACAGACAGGAGCCAACAGCATGGTAACTAGCATTCCAGGCTTCTCATACACAAAAAGATCTGCAGGTGAGAAAAAAAAAAAGACAAGGATCATTCAGATTTACTTTTTACTACTTCCTCTTTTAAAGAAAATATGTTACATCTATCTAAATCTTCTGTTGAAAGAGCATCATGAAATAGGATTTAATGCAACATTTTACATGGCATTTTAAAAATAAAGATTTGCTTTGAAGATTAGGAGACTTGTTGCTGAATCATGTTGCTCCAACAAACAAGAATCATTGAAAGGTATCAGGAGCCGTGCTTCTATTACAAATGTGTAACGAACATGGTTGATATCTGCTAATTACAAAAGAAAATCAGCTTTAGGTGTTTCCACTGAAAAACAAATGCCTATCATTGCAAAAAAAAAAAAATCTGTTGTATGCACAGCCAAGATAACATGTGCATTTCCACAGTGCCAGTTATTACACAACTTGTTGTTTCCATTAAATTTGGTCTCCAACGATGTATGTTATCAATGTCTGTTATAAATGTTGTCTCAAACTACCGTCCCAGTACAAAAAAAACGCGTGAAAAACATGTTTGTTTGTTTTTTTTCCAAAATTGCTACCTTTTATTGTACAAATTAGTTATTTATTATTTAAATCTGAGAAATATGTTAGTCAATGTAGAAAAACAGCAGATGGTCTAACCCGACAAAAAATCTGCAACCGTTTTTTTTAATTTACTTAATCATATTTAGTTACTTAAACAAAATTGTTTTATGTCCTACCCTGCTAACATGACACAATTCTGTTAAAGTAATTAAATATGATTAAGTAAATGCAAAAAAATGGTTGCATTTTTTTTTTTCCAGTGTGGGTCAGAGCACTGAAACAAACTACTATGTTTGATGACTGAACGGAGGATGTAGTGTTCTTTTTAGACTTTTAAACTTGAAAACTCACTCTTTGCCTCATTAATGTTCTCTTTAGATATACACCTCTTTAGTGGTAAACTCTTGAACCCATCTTTTCTATGAGTAATTTTAAATTGCAAGTTATAAATCTCTACATGTTGCATATTTTTACTGAAGCGTCAACAGAGACAATATTAGATTTTGATGATTTTAAGCATCCACAGTATGCCTTTCTGTCAGCCCCAATACACCCTACTAAGAGACAACCACACTGTTCTTGTCCACATATTTTTAAGAGCTATGGTCCTTTTCGAACAGATAAACCACCTGTAGACAGTTGCTCTGTTTAAGCAACAAAATGTGTGAGTAACTGGCTTTCAGTTGCTCCAATTCCATCTCAGCCCCAAAATTCTAAGCCCTGTTTGGACCAAGGAAAATGATTTGGAATGCAAAATATATTTTCAGGCTCAGGCTGTGTACTGATAAATGCCAACTAAATCCCAATTTTATTAGTCCAGGAAATTCTGTCAATGAGGTTAATTTTTATTGCATAGCAAGCATTTTTACATAGAAGTTTATTGAGGCAATTAGTACGCAGCTGTGCTGAACCTTTAAAAAATGATGAATACCTCAGAGATAAAAAAAAAAAAACAGAGAAAAAAAGAATACTCTACAGCGAATCAATCCATCAGATGTTTTTCCTAATTGTCACCTTGTACAGAATGTTTATTGCATATATGGAGGCGGAAATGAGAAAATCATTTCAGAAAGCCATGAGATTGCAGTATCATGCTTCCATCACTGCAAGTTTGTAGATTGCAATTTTGGTGAACAGTAGTTCTACGGTATTAAATCTGAGGAGTTGCATATAAATGCACCCTTCACTTTTATTTTTTTCCAAAATTGAAATGCTCTCAATGTTTTTCAATTTTTATAAACTTTTTAACTTAACTCCCAAATAAACACATTGTGACTGTAACTTACCAAATGTAGGAAGTTAACAGATACTTTTGCAGACATTTTAATTTTCTCACAACGTTTTATCTACATCATGTGCCTTGTGCAGTAAAAGCGTTTCCTTCTATGAAACAAGAATTTCTGTCCATCTTTTTCTCCTCCCTTTATTATCTCTCCGCATTGAGAAAAAAGTTTAAGCAATAAAAATTTGATTTGAGGCACAGCAGTGACACAAACATAAGCTGACATGTTCTAATTTGATAATCACATCTCATTACACAAAACGGTTAATTGTTAACAGGGTTGAAACTAAGTTGAGAAATCACAGAACACTTTAAATCACAAGCCCTTAGAAAAGAGGTGTGTTCATTGGCAACACATGTGCAGAGATTAGCCTCCAGTCTGCGATAGCCAAATACTTGTTTTACAGCCGTTTACCAAAGAATTCTTCAGCTGTTTATTTGGGATTCATCATAAATATCTATAATTTATGTATGTTTATGCTTATTGGAGACTCCAGATCTGCACTCAAAAGAAACATGAGGAGTGAAAAGAAAGAGATGCTTAGAGAAACAAATAGAAGAAAGGCAGACGGTATTAGTGGGACAGCGTTTGGTGGCTGGCCGACTTTCTGGCTGGTTGGCAAGGAAGCTCGTCTGGTGTGGGGGTCTGTGGTTTTGGTGCAAATACAGAGTAATTTAAGAGGCAGGTCTGGGTACCCACTGTTTTGTAAGGAAAAGAGCTAAAAGCTAGATGGATACAGCACCCTTAGCTTTTATGAACACCTATTATAAAGGATGTACAAAAACTTTTCCTTTCTTTATTTTTTTCTCATTTAAGTAGCGTGATTTCACTATAAAATTTAAAGGTAAAAATATTTATTTTAATGCAGCTATTTACTGAAAAAATATTATGTTGAAAATCAAAAATAATAATGTTTCTATTCTTAATAGATTTTCTATAACAAATCATAGCTTTTTTAGAATTGGGACATCTTTTTCATTTTGCAAATCATAGTCCTAATATGTTATTGGAGTGTAGTAATCATCATTAGCGATCAAAATAAAGGATAGCATCTAATTTCTGGGTTGGGATCTAATTTAGTGCTGCCCTACACAAAGCAATTAAAATCTTTTCCATAATTTTTGTAAAAAGCAGGAAGCAACAACTGAAGAAAACTTGTCCAAAGCATAGCTAATACATAATTTATTTAATTTTCCTTTGCTTCTCAGCTACAGTTTCTAATGTTCCTCTGGGGAACTGTCTTAATGGCCCATATCCCAAAAAAAACACAAACTCTAGTAGAAGCCTCTGATGGGCATTCTTTATGGATGGCTGTACATGCATTCATGAACCTTTTCTCCCAATAAACTCTGTCATTTAGCATGGTGCTGCTACTGCCACATTTTAAAATGACATATTGCATGTTCTGCCTGTACATTCATGGGTTTTCTACAGGTATTCCGACTTCCTCCCAGAGTCCAAAACATGACTGTTAGGTTAATCCCCCCTCTAAATCCCCCTTAGATGTGAGTGTGTGTGTGAACAGTCGTTTGTCCTGGTTGTCTCTCTGTTGCCCTGTGATGGACTGGTGACCTGTCCAGGGTGTACTCCGCCTCTCACCCATTGATAGCTGGAGATAGACACCAGCACCCCTTGAGACCCCAGCAGGAATAAGCGTGATTGAAAATGGATGGATGAATGGATATTCAGGGTACTGTCAGATATTCAGGGTAATGTCAGCTTTTTATGCAATATTCAGTGTTTTGAATATCGCTCATTTAGATCCATTTCAGTCTCGTCTGACAAGACGACATCTTACACATATTTTAACATAAAAAATAACATATCTGAAGTGTGTCCAAGGTGGTTTGCAACAAACTGTACGCTGGTTTTCTAGCAACTCCTCTTTACTTGGGTGTCCTCCATAAAAAACAGATCTGTAGAATGCATGACTAACTTCAGTCTATTGGACAGATTCTCCAACCTGAGCTGTGACTCTCTGCAGCTCCTCTAGGTTACCATGGTTATCTTGTTCCTCCTTTATTAATGCACCCACTTAGGTCTGCTGTGTTGTGGAAGGTTTACTGATGTATCATTCTCATGTGATGGATTATTCAAAGCATTGCACAGATACTGATCAATCCTGTAATCTACCCTTCTTTAAGCTTCTTTCATTTTTTCCCCCTGACCTATCTGCCATCTTAGTTTGCCATTATGTTGCTGTTTGTTCACTAGTGGTCACTAGTGGCCTTCACAGACCAAATAGATTCAGAGTTGCACTGGGTTTTACACAGGGAAATCAGTGAAGGGGAGTAATTAAAAACTCATGTTGCATTTTGTTTTAGATTTCTATTGGTTTAGAATATTATTTAACCGCTTAGTCTCTTGCTTTCACTTGTTCTTTTTTACAATCTAATGTAAAGCACACAAAAAAACAATAATATACATTGGAGCCTGTTTTGTAATATATATATAAAAAAAAAAAATTAAGATAAATGTACTTATTCAGTAAAATATACCACAGTCCAGCCGATAATATGGAAATAGAACATAAAAGGGGAAGATAAATCTAGAAACCACCTGGCATTGAGTTGATGCTTGCAGTCGTCACCTTTCATGATTGTGTGTTTTACAGCACCAACACAATGTCCAAAAGATACAGGAGGGCCGCAACGGCTACTGAAGCATGAGCAGCAGCTTCCAAACCGTAATTCAGCGGCACCTCATGAGGACTGCACGGACATGCCAGAGAAACACAGACAACCCTGCTGTCTGAGAGCCAAACACAGACTTCCATATAACTGTTCTTTCTATCCTCTAATGAAATTAACAGCACAGGGGAGGTGAGACCGAATGAGCAGGGCCTACCCCCATGTGTGGGTTCAGACTGCCAGACATTTCCCAAACCACGTGCCACAGTGAGATTACAGATAAACCCACGAGTGAGGATTTGGTGTCACGGACAGGAAAACGAGGTGTTTGCTTTTGTGGTGAAAATATGAGCCTTCGCTTGAGTAGAGGGATCATCACCTAAACATCATACAAAGAGTTAGGTCAACTTTTACAAAAACACAGGATTCAACAACTGGGGTAAGAGGTGTTTGAATAGTTTTGGTTTCAACCACAGACATTGTGGAGAACCAAACTTTAAGCCCGTATAAAAGCTTCTAGCTGATTCATCCAATTTTGATTAACCACA